AGCTCAACCCCAGCAAGCACAATTAGGCGAGTATATGAACGAATGCACATGTACACTTTCAAATGAATTAAGATACCTTGAGATACACAATGACTTAGTTTAAATAGTTTAAACACATTATGGTACTGATTTTGACATGCTGATGTCTGGAAGGGAGAGGGGGTGTGGGGGGTTATTGTTTGAGGTGGAGGACCAGAGGAGGGGGTCAGTAGAAGGATGGTGGCTGGAGGGATGCCATTGTTCTAATGGTTATGAAAACAATTATTGATGGCAGGAATTCAGTGGGTGTGTACTTCACCCGCACCATCACCATACTGTGCCCTGCTACAACCCTCCCCCCCCCCCACTCCACCCATGCTGTGCGGGGCGTATTACACATTATGGGATAACCGACTGTCTGTCCATTCCTGTCTGCTCATTATGCTGCCCTTCTTTTTGAAAATTGTCTGCTTTATCGACTTCCTTCAAGACCACACGTTAGCCTCTTATCACGCCCTCTTACCACTCTCAGGGAGCTGGCTCTTCTATACAATAGTTACCACTCAGTCCCCAAGGTGAAAGAGTGTCCGGGCATATGACTTGTTACGTGTACTTATTTGCGATTCGTTTGGGCTGTCACGTGTGGTGATTAGTGTTGGGTAAGGCTAGGCCAGGTCAGGTCAGACCAGGCCAGGTCAGACTAGGCTAGGTAAGGCTAGGCCAGGTCAGGTCAGACTAGGCTAGGTAAGGCTAGGCCAGGTCAGGTCTGGTCAGGTCTGGCTAGGCCAGGTCAGGCCAGGCCAGGCAGGGTGAGAGAAGTAAAGCGGCAGGTACTTACGTTTCCGAGAAAGTAGCGGCGGTAGTATATTGTTGATTTAGATTCGACGACATCCTGAAGCTAGTAGGTGGCGGCCTCATCGCTCTCGAACTTCTTGTTGTTGTAGGGGATACGAGGCACACCCAATATCCCCCTTACATTGATCACATCGCACACTAATATTTTTACTATTTCGGACACCAGATTTGTCTGTTTCGTATATGTTTAATTGTTCAATATTAAAACCACAATAGAATGCTCTTAACAGTTACAATTTTCAACTTAACAGCCATATAGTTGGCAAGAACGCCGCCCGCCAGTGCAAATGTCTCAGACCCTGTTGGAATATAACCAGTCTGTCAATCGAGTCAACCCAAGTGTTGCGTTTCCATAAGGTTCGCCCATGTTGGAATCGGTGAACGCCCTAGTAATATTGTTGAAATCATCTTAATAACTTATTAAACCAAAGGTCTTTTTATGTCAGAAGAACGGCAGAAACTAGATCTATATATGAAAACTCTTTCAGGACAAAATTTAAAGTAAAACTAAAGATATTTGTAGTTGTATAAAAGTTGCATTTTTCATCGGTCGTAGAGCCGGAAATCCGCAATATTCATTTCAGAACAATGCTTATTTCACGCAGAATCGTTAATAAACGTAAGATTTTTATACGTCTCAAGAAAGATAGAAACATAAATTTACTTTAATCTAGTTTTACATAATCTAGTTTTACTTTAAATTTTGTCCTGAAAGAGTTTTCATATATAGATCTAGTTTCTGCCAGGACTGGGGGTGCGGGGGTGTATAATAAACTATACCCACCTCCGGCGGCAGCTTGTCGAAGGCGGAAGTGTAGCTATAGACAATTTGTTATGATAATTAGTGATGGCTCTTATTTTGATTATGGGTCCGTAATCCAGTTAAGCTTTTATTCTTAATTTATATTACAATGCTGGTAAATGGTCACTGCTTGACGCAAGCGGGGATTTTTCTGGCGGGGGAGAAAGAAACAATTGCGCAGCGCGTCCCGCGGCGTTGCGCGGGCAGTTTGGGGCCGTATAAATACGGGCGCACAATGGGGCCCTGCCCTCACTCCGCCTGCCCTCGCCGCTGCCCTCGCAAAACCCCATCCTCCCCCCCCCCTTTGCAAGCGGCTGCTTTTGTACCCCCGTCATGCTTTGCATAGTTGTCCCGGTTGTCTCCCCACTGCATGTGGGAAGGGGGGTGCAGCGCCGGTCCCCAAGTGTCCCGCTGTCCGCAGCTAATACTTTGCCCAGTCTAGGTGCTAGTAAGCCCTACTTGTAGTCACCCCCTTCTCCTTATTCATTAGGTCTTTCCGGCCTCTTGGTCGGGTACATTATGTGTTATGTGGTCTCTCACTTATTAGTTACTCTTTGTGTCCTGCCTGTTATATCCTAGTGTTATATAATTACTCACATTTGCATTCGGCCTTAATTCTAGTACCAGTTAAGCTTTACGTTTCTGCAGAATTAGTTTCCATGTCACTATAGGCTAAGGTCTCATAATTACTACGGGTGTAACTTTTAAGTTAAATCTAGTCCTCGGACTTGGAATTGTTACTGTTAATTCTTACTTTATATATTTACATGTTCTGCAGAATTTAATCTTCAATAAACTTTAACGCCCCATGCTGCCAGTATCTTTCTCCCCCTGGTCAGAAAAATACACTTCTTGATGATGAGTATGGAGTACAAATGAACTCATTGTGTACCTAAGTTCAAGTTCAAGTATGTTTATTGAGATAAGCAATAAATACATCTCAAAGGGATAGAGTAGCTTAGGCTATTTCAACCCCCCTCTAATTCAAGTCCCTCAAGGGGCGCACAAATGCTGTGAGTACAAATAGACAAATAACATTACAAGAATCCAAACAAAAATTGTGTACCCTATACTCACAGGATGAGTATAGGGTACACAATAAACTACCACTCACATCATGGGTATGGGTTGCACAAGAAACTATCGCGCAGAGGATAAATATGGAGAGCAAAGTAAACAAAGATTCACACGATGAGAAAGGGTTGCGCAATGTCCTATGACTCAAAGGATGAGTATTAGCTGCACAATAAACTACAGGTCACAGGATAAGTATGGGTTGCACAATAAATTACAGGTCACGGGATGGGTATGGGCTGCACAAACTACCGGTAACAGGATGAGTATGGGATGCACAATAAATTACGGGTCACAGGATGAGTATGGGTTGCACAAACTACTGGTAACAAGATGAGTATGGGGTGCACAATAAGTTACCGCACAGAGGATGAGTATAGGGTGCACAAACTGGTTGGGTAAATGGAAATGGTTGGGTACATTTCCTTTCACCTAATGCGACTATTCATGTGTCCGGACACCGGCGATTGTGTGGTATTGGCTATTTATTTAACCATAACTTTGCATTCATTTAATAATTATATTAAGATATGTTTTCCTTGAAATGTAGTTACATTATCGTCTACATGTCTTTATTCTGACATAAAGACCTATGGCGTTACTTTGCATATATGCAAAGTAATTATAAAATTGATTGGCTTGTGTGGAGGCCTTCACACTCCCTGAGCGAGCCATCAAGTAACTATAAAAAGGCATATATCTTCACTTTCACTTCAGTTATATTTATGCCAAAGTATTAACATGCAGCTTATATTTATGTCTTTATGATGACATAGAAAACTTCGTTTATTACAATATCTAGATTAAATTAACATTGATCTTCGGAAGGTCATAGTTCCCATATCGGTAAGGAGAGCGTCGGCCATGAAGCCTTGTTTAAAGTAAGAATATTTTTCCTCTCTAATAAGGTATAACCTCTGTGATGGATTCACAAAAACTATTTTATATCTGCCTTTCTGATAACATATACAAATATAATCTTTATTTGTGAATATTTGTTAATTAAGCAATATATCAGAGGGCGTGTAGGGTTCGGTGTTCAATGAACGAAAAGGACTGGATCACTGTGTACAGGAGGCTGATATGGCAGCAAACACTCTCCAGGCGACCATATATCTTGGATAAGTCGCTCCACACAATTGTCGCTTGGACCGTCGACTTCCTATGGCTTCACCTCTCTCATATTTACGTCTCATTTCGTTATGAAATTAGATTATTTCAGAGTAAAAATAGGTTTGATCATGTTCTACGTGTAGCACCAACATTATAGTAAGTAAATATACCATATTTCTTCATTACTTACGTAATGCTAGGACGATTTGTGTAGTTTTGGGCCGATTTGGGCTGATTTGGGTAATTCTATGGACCGCGTCCCCGAGAGTTGGGCACCGCTAGAGGAGGGGGGGAGGGTCACCTCCATAAGTCTAACTACAGGCGTCCTGACCCCCACAACGGTTATTAAGACGAAACGTTTCCAGCCTGTGGCAATTGTTTACGAACAGTGACGTCTCTCTCCTGACCTGCCCTGAGAGCGCTTCACCCCAGCTGATATTCCCCCAGCAGTTTTTGTCCCAACCTTCTTGACCAATGATGACACAGTCTACCAGTTACATCTATTATGGAGCCTACATTGTACTCTCACTCAAGTCTATTCATTTGACTGGGCTCTCGGTATATTAATTACTGTCCTCTGGCAATCCAAGATGGTAATTAGTCCGTTCATTAAGAGCTCATCGCCTCCTTCCCTGCAAGCACTATTAGGTGAGTGCCCAACACTGGCATATATGACTGCCTCTACTTCAGTGTTGGTCACAGTTTCAAGCGTAAATAGTTTACACAGACACCCAGAGACATTTGAGTTCACCTCGGGAACCTGCAGTACACCCGTTGAGAGGCGGGACCAAAGAGCCAGAGCTCAACCCCCGCAAGCACAATAGTGGTGTAACATCTTGAAGTATTCACCTGAAAGATCACATTCACTCCAAACATCAACCACCTACTGGCTATACTCAGGCCCGTGTATCTATGTATTTACGTATGTAGGTTAGCTTAGCATTTTAAAAGCACCGAATCACCTTCTGTGGTTGAGTGTTCAATAAACCCTTGAACTATATGTTTAACACATCTCTAACCCTGTCCATGGAGGACAGAAGAAAATGTATATATGCTGGTTAGCATTGTAAATGTGTGGCCACGTCTGTGGTAGAAAATAATAATTAAAAAAAAAAAAACTTAGACCCGGTGACTTGGTCTTGGACAAGAAGTGTTGGTGTCAGTACTGGTCGTGGCGTCGTGGCGTGAGGGTGTGCTGGGCCGCCTCTCTCCACCTCTCCCCACGTTCCCTCGCCCACCCAACCTTCTCAGTGTTCATAGCCTCTTAATCTCTTATGACACATAAGATCCCTCACTGTAGCCAAGTGTGACATATAGACATAATCGGCAGGCAATATGTGCACAACTTACACGTGTTGTGAAAGTTGGGTGGTTTGGGCAGCTGCTTGAAGTCCAGATGAGGTGTCCTGTCGGTTAGAATGATCGCTCATCCGAAATATAAAATACTCCTCGGCTTGTGAGTTGTTACACTGCATTTTGTTGTATATTGAGGTAGCTTAGAGTACGCCGTCACATGTACCGAAGCTGGTAATTAGTAGCTGTCGACTGTTCATAGCAGTAGGCCTATGCAAGCAGCATATATCACATTAATAATATGTTATTTACAAGAAGGTACAATGTGTTGGTGAGATTACAATAGTGATATTTTTACGGTCTTGCAAGGACCCCAACACGCATGTTTCGGGCCCGTCCTTAATCTAACATATCATGTAAAATGAAAAAGTACATTGTAGCAAAGTTTTATATCGCCAATATAAATTTACAAGAGGTGATTATATACACTGTTAAACATTAAGTACTTAGTCTTGAGTACTAATATTGGTGAAGTGGGTAGTATAAAGATACAGTGTAAGTTTGAAGCACAAAGTAGGAAACTATGAAGATGAAATTAGGTACTTTTGGGTTTTTACTTTTGAGCAGGACATGGGTTGGACAATTTTGTAATTCATCAGGGAGTGAGATCCAAAGACTGGGCCCTTTTATTTGCATGGAGTGTTTGCACAGATTTAGTCTGACTCTGGGGATATCAAAGAGATATTTATTTCTGGTGTGGTGCTCATGGGTTCTATTACATCTATCAAGGAAAAGTTTCAAATCAAGATTAGCATTTAGGAACAAGGTTATGTACATGTAGATAGCACATAAGAATGTGTGGAGTGAGTGAATGTTTAGCATGTTAAGGGACTTGATCAGAGGGGCTGTGTGTTGTCTGAAGACAGAGTTTGAGTTCTAATAGCAAATTTTTGCTAAGCGATGATAGGCTTGAGGTAATTTGCAGTGATTGAACTCCATGCACAAATACCGTATGTAAGACTGGGATAGATTAGTGCTTAGTATAATGAGAGGAGAGCAGAGTGGGGAACATAATATCTGAATTTAGAAAGTATACCGATCGGTTTTGAGATTTTTTTGCGATGTGTTGTATGTGGGTGGTGAAGTTGAGTCTCTTGTCTATGTATAGGCCCAGGAACTTCCCCGCGTTATTTATTGGTAATGTTAACATTGTCTATCTGAAGTTGAATCTGATTTGATTTACTTTCAAATAAAATGTAGTAGATCTTTTCTATGTTTAGTGTAAGTTTGTTGGTTGACATCCATGAGTGACTTTTTTTTTAATTCATTGTTGACCATATTATTTAGTGTGTGAGGGTTGGGGTCAGAATAAATGTAGGTAATATCGACAGCAAATAATTCCACTACGGGCTCGCCATAGCCCGTGCTACTTGAAACTTTTTGTTCCGAGTAGCGGAATCTAAAACACCACCAACGGTGTTTGGTAGGCGGCTGCTGGAGTGTGATGCTGCATGGGTCAGTCCTCTGTCCTTTTGCAGCCTTATGCCACTCTGACAGATTGTTCATCTCCCCGGGTTCGCTGCCTCAATTGCAGTGAGGCCCACCCTACCTTCTCCCGCTCGTGTATCCACTACAAGCTTGAGGAAGTCGTCCTCAACTTGAAACACCGGGATCGTCTGACTTTTGCTGAGGCAAGACGCCAGCCCTTTCACTGGCGTATCTTATGCTCGTGTGTTGCGTTCTACCTCTCCTCGTCCTTCCCACCTTTCTCAGTCCCATAACCGTTTCCAGGCCTTGGACCCGAACACGCCCACCACCTCCTCCCCTGTTCCTTTACGTCCTGTCCCGGGAGGTCTCCCTCCTGATTCCCCTTCTGGAGTTCCCCCCTTTCCTACCCTGTCCGCCATGTCTCCTGTGTCTTGTTTTCCTTCTTCCCGTCCCTCTCCACTATCTCTTGGCCCTCCATGCCCCGTGTCTGTCCAGGCTGATGTCCATCATCCTCCCAGCAATCTTCATGTTGTTCACTCCCGTTCTTCTTCTTCTGCTGAGACCCTTGAGTCAGTCGCCGTGTACGTTGTTACTGGAACACCTGTCTCTCTGAGTCAGAAACGTAAGCCTGGCTCCTCTCCTTCCTCCTCCCCTACAGGTAAGAAGACATTGCTTTCTTCCTCGCCCTCTAACTCTGCCTCTATCGCTTTGTCCCCTCCCATTTCGGTGGTCGCGCCCCCTGTCCCTGATATGGAGGTTTCTTTCGCCCCAGATTCCATCGCGGTTGCTGCCCTTGCTGAGGTGCGCTCTTCAGCTTCTACCCCCAACCTTCTCCTGCTGTCCTTGACAGCCCCTCTCAGTTGTCTTCCCCCTCCTCTGGACCCCTTCCGTCTGCCTCTGGTCTGTCCTCCCGTCCCCTTCCCTCTATCCTTACTAAGTTTACCCATGACCCTTAACTCTGATTTTGCTGACCCTGATTCTGATCTTGAGCTTATTTAATATTCTGTGTTCTTCTTTACATTTTTGTTTCTTCATTGTTCTCTGTTGCTGCCCTTTCTCTTTTTGATAATGTCTATTCTTCAATGGAATATTCGTGGATTTTATGCCAACTTCCATAAACTCCAACTTCTGAATACAAAGTTTTCACCATTTTGTTTGTCTCCAGGAACCGATGCTTGGTGCTCGTCCTGGTCACTTTCCTGATTATTCCTTTCTTCGCCTCCCCCCCCCTCTATAACTCCATAACTCTACTGCTCTCTTGATTCATACTGATATTCCTTTCGTCCCCCTACTGTTCCCATTGCCTATCCCATTGTTCTGCAGCACGTGTTTTTGTGAGTAATTGGTATACTGTCTGTTCCATTTATCTCCCCCAAATGTCCAGCTTTCCCTTCCTGATCTTAAACACCTCCTGGACTCCTAACACAAGCTCCCACCTTGGCAAAAATTAAACAGTTCATCGAACTCCTTGAAAGGAAATGTGTTGCACTTGGTTTCACTCTCTTCACAAACAAGACAAAAGCATACTCTCATCACAAGCGGGGAGAAAATGAAGAACTACAAATTAATGGTGAAACACTTGAGTGGGTTGACCACTATCGGCACCTTGGCGTCACTGTCGGCTATAACAAGGGAAAGAAAGAGGAGCGCAACCAACTCATAGGAACATGCAAAAGTCGACTCAGGGCACTGAAAGCAATGACCTGGAATGGTCATGCGGCCTCTATTGCTGTGCTTAAAATGATGTACACAGCCTATGTGCGCTCCGTCATAGACTATGCCGCGCCAGTTTTGCGCACTTATTCTCAAAGCGATATGAAAATCTTGAAAGCATACAAAATGAAGGCATGACAATCATTCTTGGAGTCCCAAGCACTGCCAAAACATCTAATCTACGAGAGTTGTCCCTCCCCAGTGTTAAAAGCCGAATTAAGGAGCTGAATGCTAAGGTTGCAATTAGGATAGCCAGAGATCTCCATTACAATGATATTGCCAAGAAAAAACTGAGTTCTGTGCTACTTTCAGGGGGAACAGGAGAAGCAAAAAATGGCATCACAGATCAGTCTGCTTCCATCAGTGTGGAATGGTGCCCAATCACTTTGATGGTCGAGGATTGTACGCTGACCTGCAGGAAGCGAGACCGTCGCTCTACCGTCTACCATTGTTATGACGTTAAGATTCCTTCAACGAAGCACTAACGATGCAGTGATCTGCACTGATTCCAAAGCAGCGCTACAAAGCCTTAGAAAAAATCGGGCGGAAAATCCTCCGATAGTCACCGAGATCAAGAGAGCTGTGAGAGTGCTAACCAATCAGGGAAGAATCGTCAAATTTCTGTGGATCCTCTCCCATGTTGGAATCTGTATAAATGAAGAAGTGCTGTGCTGGCTGCTGAAGGCGCTAAAGGAGACCATATTGAATATTTCATATCCAAGACTCTTTTACAAATTAGAGGTATCATCAGGCAATATCACAGTGACAAGGTTACTGAGGAAAGGAGGATAGAAGCACAAATCAGTGAAACTGTATGCTGGTACAACATGGTTGCAGTTGGTAATCCCAATCATTATGAACGAAGAGGAGGAGGCCGCGGTAATAGAATCAGTAATAGGAAGAACCCGTCTTGGATACAAATATCCATGGAGATTCGGAATGGAAGCAACAGTTGAGCAGAAGAGTTGTTGAATCTGTGGTGAGAGTGATGGGCACCGCCTTGACTACCTGAGTGTGTGAATATCTAAGAGTCAGTAGAATTATGTATAGAATAACAAACCCCACATTGAGTTAGGAAAACACTATTTGTAAAATATAGATACAGTTTTTAAAAGATTCCCCCATGTTGCATCAGCAAGATAGCGTACGATTTTAAGGGTTGACGAATGTTAATCTTGTTTGATAAGCTGTTCACTTGAGACAGTTCAGCAAGTCCCAGCTGTGTCTGGGTACAAGTGACAGGATGAACAACCCAGCGGGTTTTCTTCCTATTGGGGAGTGTTGTACATGCTGCTATCGCGGTGTATCCACCCACAGGACGAGTGGCGCTGCCCAATAAACTCGCCCCTCGGGGCAAAATTTAAAAATTGGTAGCGTTAGCGTAAAGTCTTGAGAAAGGAACGGTGTGCGAGGAGCTGTAAATATTAAGAACCCCCGCGGTAAACACGTGACCTCTGGGGTCAACATCACCAATAATATTGGATGACCCCCCCCCCCTAGCGGGTCAACATGCTCCCACACCCACTTGACGGTCAAGCGAGTCAACCTTATCCAGTTATGGAGTAACGATTGAACAATGATGTCAAGTAATGTTCAATTTAGCGTTACCAAGTTTAACATTTAATGTTATTGAGTACCGTTTAACGAACGTTCGATCAGCGTTGAGTAATAGTGAGTCAACGTTATTGAGTAACGTTTGAAGAATATGAGGTAACATTTAATGTGTTACTGGGTAACATTTAATCAACATTATTACCCGTTGTTACATCAATAGCGTTCGACGGGCTTTCCCGGGAGGTAGTGTGGGGGAGCATATCGCTGAAGTGAAGCCATTACAGCGTGCTGTAGTCTGGGTTACACGCGACGGACGAACACGTCACAGGTGGTGTGAAGACTGTAAGCCTTGTGGTTTGATGAGTGTGACTCAAGTGTGTCGTGAGAGCCCTGCACGATACGACTCGT